CTCTGTGTCCAACTCGAGCATTAAGGCCTGTGAACATTATTGTCAAGTCTTGTCCCCATTTCAGCCCATCTGCTGCCATCATCCCAGCCCAACCTTGGTGTCTCTTTCCAGGTCAGCAGCCTTCTTCCCACTGGCTTCCCATCAGCTTACCTTGCCCTGCTTCCATTGTTTATTCCCCATACATTACCCACAATGATCTTATTAAAGTATGAATCAGACCAAGTTTTTCCCCTGTACAAAATAATCTTTCCATTTTCCATTCTATTCAGAAGAATATCCAGAGTCCCTACCAAGGCCCTGTGTGATCTGGTCCCTCACCCGTCTCTGCAGCCTCAGTCCTCACCGTTCTGCTCCAGCCCATCTTCACCGCCCAGATGGTCCCCACCAGGACAGCTGTGTTTGTGACTCCAAGTCTTGTACTTACACTTCTCCTGGACTGGGAAGCTTTTCTTGTCTGTTACCTACGTGGCTTATTCTTTTACTTCATTCAGTACTTTGTTCAAATTATTTTACCCTCAGAGAGGACTTATCTGACCACATTATTTAAAATAGCATGCACTTACTTCCTATTCAATCATTTTCTCCCCTAATATGCTTTATGTTTCTTTGTGGCAATTATTAGTACCAGGCAGTACATAATATATTTAGTTGTTTACTGGTTTATTGTCTGTCTTTCTTACTAGACCTATATTCATGGAACCACAAATAACTGTTTTAACCAGTAACTTTCAAACTGCCTTTAAATGAATTCTTTTATAAGTTGAGAATTTCACAGCTTTCCACGGGTTGCTTAGGGGAAAAAAGAGAAAGGATTCAGGTTGAACTAGGTTATTAAGGACCTGGCAGTTGGTTATTTATTTTATACATAGTAGTGTGTATCTGTTAATCCCAAACTCCTAATCTAACAAAAGACCGAGTTGGTTACTTTTATTAAAATTTTTTTTCTTTTTAAAGATGGATTGTTTGACATCAATTTTCTTCTTTGTTCATTTTCTAACAGAATTTTTCTTATTTTTTTTTTACATTGAGGCAGTGGGAATTGAACCCAGCACGTACTCTACCCCTTGAACTATACCCTCCCCTCCAAAGACAATTATTTTTATACTTTTACAATACCATACTGAATTAAAATTTTTTGTTCCATTTTCCCTTCAGAAAGTTTATAACTGAGGGAGAGACAGTCGGAGGAAGCCCTGGCCATCCCTTCCTTCTCAGCGGGTTACTACACAGCAGAGGAACATGGCTGTTGCCAGGCCCAGCTCACTTTTCTGCTCTGAGGGCCGACTCAGGCCCCTTCTCTAAACAGAGGCATGTTAGAAGCAGCAGAAAGCCAACTAGCGAGCAACAATGATAAAACTGACCCACCTGCAGTTGGACAACATCTGCTCTGAAATGAACCTCTTAAACCTCTTCTTCTTATTAGTGGATGGTTTTCAAAAATATTCCCAAGGAGATGAATCTCACTCTATTTTTCTAGATTTCTTGGGCCTTCTATGACTTTAAGTGCAGGCTTGATTTTCTGCAGAACGTCTTCAGGGAAGCCAGGCAGAACACGTGAACAGACCCTGCAGGCCACAGCTGGGGCCTCTGGTCAAAGCATCCTTGTTGTGCAGAGCCTACTTTCATGGGACCATTTTCATGACTGCTGTAATTAGTTCTCATCCAAGTGTCCCACCGAAAATGTTTCTAGATGGAAGATGGCCTGATGCAGTTGAGCAGTGGGGATGTGGGATGCAGATGGCGGACAGACTGGAAGGAGAGACGGGAAATGTTTCTTCAGGCTTCAGTTTGGTAGATTTCTGATATTTATATGAACATTAAACTGGGTCAGACTGAAGTGCCGTTTGCTCTAAGATGGGGTGATGTACACGTATCCCTACAACTTCTAAAAAATATGTTGAAGTTGGACATGACAGCCTAGGGGACAGACAGCTTAGACTGACACCTACATTCCAGGGTGCCTATGATCTTGGGCTCACAAAGAGGAAAAGAATACACATATTTTGCCTGTGTAGTTCTATGTGAAATTATTTGGACCCATGCCGGATGGTGTAATATCAGAGATCATGTATTCTTTCTTACATCGCAAAGACGACAATTCTTCTTGATGAGTCAGCAGACTGTTTCCAATGGCCCGGGGTCTGTGCCAGACATTAGCTGTCTAGACAAATACCACACAGCCCCCCATCCCTCAAGGAGGTCACAGTGTGTCGTGGAAGAGACAAATTTAAATAGGTTTTCAAAACAATGTGGTAAGAGTCACTTGGCATCATGTATAATGTATGTTCACAGGGGCTCTTGCACTGCCTGGGGCAGGGTTCTAGAAGGTAGGGAAGGTGTCAGAGAGGAAATGCTTTCTGCACTGACATCTGAAGTATTCCAGCAAATCTCTAGACCAGGAGAGTGCATAGTGGGAACGGGATTCTCTGCAGCTTGTGTGTCTCGTGCAGAAGTCTGGTCGTGTCTAAGAGCACTTTGCACTTAGGGAAGGAAGGTCAGTGAGGCTAGAGGCTGTGAGGAACTAACGGAAGCTGAGGGTGAGAAAAACCAGCAACCAGCTGATGAGAAGGTGTAACGTTAAATCAGGGAGTGTGGAGTTCCTCACATACGCAGTGGGGAATTCTTTGGGGTTTTAAGGAGGAGAGTGACACAGATTAGTCATTAAAAGTGAGAAAAGTGGATTGTTCACTCTAAAGAACAGCACTGGGGAGACTAGCAAGAGGTGTGAATTAATGCAGTGAGAGCGAGGAGCAGGGACTTAATTGGGGGACATTAAGTAACAGAATTGTAGTACTGACAGAGGTGAGGGAGTGGAAAAGTAAAGGAAAACTCCCAGATGTATGGCACGGAAAACAGATGGGATAGTGATGCCATTGTTTGAAGAAGTAAACCTAGTTCTGAGCGAGTGTATATTCAAACATACAGAGCTTGAGATTTTTATGGGCTAATCAAGTGGGAATGTCTACTTGTGTATTATAAGCATATTTCTGGGACTGAAGTGAGATGTCCTTGCTGGAAAAGATTTGACAGTTAATCAGTAGACAGAGAGAAGTTGAAGCCACGGGAATAAATGCCACCCACTGACAGTTTATCAAAGAAAAGGGAAGGAGGGCACTTCTGGTTCAGAAAATATGGCAGACCGGAAAATTGAAGACCCACTCACTTAAGACACATAAAAACGTAGGACACAAGGCCACCAATCTTTTCTTGTTTTGTTTTTTTTTACAGGCACCTTTATTATGGTATGATTCCTGTACAGTAAATTACACATTTTTCACATGTACTATTTGATGAATTTGATAGATGTCTACACCCAGAAAACCATCACCACAATCAAGATAGCTAACATTTCCATCACTCCTCAAGAGGGGCACTTTTCGAATTCCCATATTTATCCCTTCCCATCCCCTTCTCTCCCTGGTAACCATAAGTTTGTTTCTCTATGTCTGTGGGTCTGTTTCTCTTTTATAGTTAAATTCATTTGTGTCTTTTTTTAGATTCCACATATAAATGATATCATATGGCATTTTTCTCTTTTTCTGGCTTACTTTACTTAAAATGACTATCTCTACGTCCATCCATGTTGCTGCAAATGGCATTATTTTGTTCTTTTTAAAGGCTGAGTAGTATTCCTTTGTATAAATATACTACTACTTCTTTATCCAGTCACCTGTCGATGGACATTTGGGTTGTTGCCATGTCCTGGCTATTATAAATAGTGCTGCTGTGAGCATTGTGTTGCATGTGACTTTGAATTAGAGTTTTCTCCTGACATATGCCTGGGAGTGGGAAGGCTGGATCATGATTTTTTCAGTTTTAAAGGATCCTCCACATTGTCTTCTCTAGTGACAATGCAGCCCGTTTTATTAAAGCAGAGCCATGCTCAGAAAGTAATGGGTGTTTCTAGGGGCCAGACATGAAGTGCAGTGATTGTGGCCTGTTCAAGAATCAGAGGGCAGTCTGGCAGGGCTGGAGGAGAGTGACTGGTAGAGTATGGTGCAGGCAGCATTCAGACCATGTGGGGACCTGACAGGCTGGGATAAGGAGCCTGGACTTCCAGTCATCCCTTGGTAACCATGGGGCACTGGCTCCAGGACTCCCCCCAGACGTCATCACCCATGGATGCTGATGTCTCTTGTATAAAATGGCATAGGAATTGCATGGAACTTATGTGCACCCTCCCATATACTTTATATATATATATACACAAACATTTTTTATTGAGTTATAGTCATTTTACAATGTTGCTTCAAATTCCAGCATAGAGCACAATTTTTCAGTTATGCATGAATATACATGTACATTCATTTTCACATTCTTTCATTGTGTCCTCCTGTGTACTTTAAATCATCTGTAGATTACTCATGGTAT